CCTTCTCTTTTTGTTCCCTCTGAATCTCAGCCAGAACTTTTTCTTCTGGAAATCATGGTTATCTTGGATTTCTTTACAATAACTTTGTGAAATAACATGATGATGACGATGATGATGATGAAGGCTGAGTCAACCATGAATCTCATTCTTACTCCATGATATCATTATTAGATTTGGAGGTCTTGCTCTTTTGACCATGTAAACTGGTCATCGCCATGTAACTTGTATCATTTTTATATCACATGATTTAAAATTATCATCATTGATGATGACATTGACTTGTTGACAGTGAGAGAGAGAGAGAGAGAGAGAGAGATGGAAAGTAACAATCTACAAAATAATGTTATCATCGGGATAATTAACATAATCTAATTGTATTTACATGACCTTGAATTATCATTACCATAATGATCATTATCTTATAATAATCATGATGATGATCCTTTGATTATTGAAACCTTGATTGTTGAAAATTTAGTTTAGAATTTAAAAAACAACTTTTCCTCTTGTTCATCATTAAATCAACTCTGTAGGTATCAACAAATTATCATGATTATCATCATCATAGATTTGATAGTCTATCAGATTGAAAAAAAATAATGAAAAAAACTGAAATTGAGAGAGATTTAAACTATATGTGATAATCCAGGATAAGAATGAAATAAAATAACCACCCACCAACTCATCCACCCGATATCATGAGGATAACAATATGATGAATCTCATCATGAAATCAGTAAGATTTTATCATGAGGAAGTTGATTAATTGGTTTGGAAACATTGACAATGATAATACTCAACAATCACGATGATCAATTCTCTCTCTCTTTCTCTTTCTATTTCTATTTCCAATCGCCATCATCGGATTACCAGAACTTTTTATCCTCCCTGTTCCTCTCACCTTGATATCAATGAAACAAAAATATCAGAAACTTAATCCCACCCCGACTTTATCATGAACCACTACGACTATTACCTTTTTCACCTTGAATCTGTTGACAATAAAGATCCACTACAACCCTTGATGACGATGATTCAATATTATGATCATTACATGATATTATTATCATGAAAATATCATGATAGTTGCTGTTATTTGTTACATTATCATCTTATGTTATCATGATAATATGAAAACAACAAGGTAATTTATCAACTATACTCTGAGTATCAACATGAACTTTTCACAATATTTATTTCAATACAATTTTAATGTTTTACAAAATCCTCATGGGCTCGGGTCTTTTTTCATGATTATGTTTTCCAGTCTTTTCATTTCATGATGGAATTGCATGATATTGATGTGTATAAAGGGTATACATGTATGTATATGTGTTCAGTGTGGAAAGATAAAATATTTTTACACTTTCCACCCTTGAGTAAGTTCATTGAATTCATGGTTACATCTTGAAACTTTTTTTTCACCTCAAGGGGATTTTGTCATGAGAATCATTTCTAGGATCATGTTTATCTTTCAAATGTTAACTTTGACACCTTTTCACTGGTCAACTAGGGGTCAACTTTGGTGATGAGTTGATGGTCAGAATTGACAATCATTGAGATTGAATCTCATCTCAAATTCAGTAAATTGTTACAATGATAACAAAGTTTTTTTTTTCAATCCAATTTTCAATTTTCTAAATCTTTATTGTTGATTGTTGATTGTTGATTTCCTACATATTGCTAATTGTCAGCTAATAGTGTTTTATTCAATCAATTGATTGCAATTTATTGTTTACAATTCAATTTACAATACAAACTTTTCAAGAGTTAATTCAATTTGATACAATTTTTTGTTGTCATTTTTGATTCTTGATTAATTGTTATAATTGTTTGCAATCAACATTGATAAAATTAACTATTAATATCTATATTTATATGTGTCCGTCTGTATTGTTGATTAACCCAATTTACTAATTGTTATAACACAATTGATAAATTTGATACAGACTTGCAAACCAATTACAATTACAATTAAAATTATCATGAAACTGTAATTTAATTCATTGCAATGCTAATTAAAATTACAAGTCAATAACTTTAGTGTTAACAAAGTAATTCAAATTTACAATTAGCAACAATCAAATATCAATGGCTGCAATTAATTGACCTAATTGTGCTCTCGTTGTGTTTAACAAATCATGATTAGGATTTTATAACAAATGATTAACATTAATCAACCATCAATAATCACAGTTTGAGGATTGACCTGATTTTCAAATGATTAAATTGTTGATCAATTGATTGATTAATCTGATGAACAATTTAATACCTGGTGATTTAAATGGTATCTAAACATGATGATTAACAATAATGACCATGGACAAGATTTGACCACTACCTTAACTGACCATTGAGATGAATGGACGATTTTTTTTTTGTATAACAATTTGAATTTACATGGAAAAAAAGTTCTGGTTCTATCATATAATAGATTTACCATGAAAGGTATTCAGAGATATTATTATTTACCATGTAAAAGGTAATATCTTTTGGCTTAGCATTCATATGAATGAGTATTCTCATGGCTATTTGGCTGAATAATTTTCAGAACTTTTTTTTTCTTTCTCTTCTTTATTTCCAACATGTTTCAGAACTTTTCCCCTCTCTTCATGATAATCTTAAATGTCATGATAATACATGGGGAAAATATGAACTCTGAACATTTATATTTTCCGTTATTATCATTATTACTCATATTTATATCTTTTACCATGAAAATGTTTTCATGAACCAGAATTTTCATGTGTGTTATTTAATGAGAATCCATTTTTTCACCATATTATGAGTTGAGAATCATTATCATCAACATGGTATCTTTATGACGATTATTATTATTGTTAGAACTTTTTTTCTCTCTCTTTTTCGAAGTGAAAAAAGTTCATTTTCTTTCGAGATGGATTAAAGTTTCGATTTGGATTTTTCTTTTTCATTCAGATCAACTTGATATCGTTTCGTGTTTAGAATTTTCAATGAGAATGAAGAAGATAAAAAGTTCGATCTTTAAAATTTTGAGGTTAGAACTTTTTCTTCTTTAATATCGAAAAGATTTCGATTCGATTTTGTACTTTTCCGATGCTTAAATTGTTCCATAATGACAAATAATTCGGTTCACTTGATTAACTATCAATGTAAATTTAATGTTGATAAATTGTCACTCTAATTGTGCATCAGTTAATTGTGGTTACATTGATTGTCTTGTGGCTTCGGATTTGTTTGGTTAACTAATGATTAAGTTACAATTTAATTTGATTAACTTTTCTTGTTGTATATCAATTGTTGATTTAGTTTCAATGATCGTTGATATGTTGATATTATTTTCCGCTTTTCTGATCAACAATTAATTTCAATAATTTAAACAGACAAACGAAATTAAATTAAAATTAATCATCAGTTAAATTTACTTTTCCATTGATATTATTAGTTTTTCCAAGTCAATTAACTTTAATCATTTATGATATAAAAGTTTCGTTATTTTCTTGATCATAATCATGGAGAAACTTTATTTCTTCATGATAAATTGAAACACCCGTTGAGAATCAATTGAACTTTTTTCCCTTGATTGTTTCCCTTACAACAATCAATTTTAATCACAATTTTCTGGCATAATTTAATAATAACAATGATGATTAACTTTAATCACAATAAGATTTTGATTATTGTTAATTTAATAATGAGAGAAAACAAAAAACACAGTTTCAACTGTTTAAATATTTAGCTGAATTTCATGATAATCATTTTCAAATTATTCAGTAACTTTATCATGAAGATGATGATGATGATGATGATGATGATTAATAGAGGAAAGAATTAGAAAATTAAAATTAGAACTAAAAAGTTTTTCTTTTACAAATTCGATATTCAAATGTAAAACTTTTCTCACCTTAATCATGATCACTATTCATCTTAATTTAATCACAATTTAATTTGATATTAATTGTAACTGATACCATGTTCTAACAAGCTGATCAACTAATTACTCTGAAATGATCAGGTTACAATTAGCAATTTAAAATTAACTTTAATCAAATTACAATGTTTCCAATATGTTTAATCAGATTGTATCTATTCAATTAATTGACTATTTTTAATTTGATTAAACAGCTAATTAAAGTGATTCACTTTCTAATATAATCAATAACTTATTATACTAATTGTTAATTAGTTGATTAATTATATCGGATTGATAATAAAGTCCAACCTTTGATTAATTGATGATAATTTTATTTTTTTAATATACAATCTCAATGAGAGCTGAAAGGTTGATGATTACAATTAGCTAATTGTTTCACTTGGTCATCATTAACCTTCAATCAATTTTGATTAACTTTTTGTTTCTTGTAATCATAATTAACCATTACCTTGATTATCATTAGACATCATTAACAGTAAATCAATTAAATTTAATCATTAAGAGTGAGAGAGAATGAAAAAAAAAACAAAACTTTGATTAATTTCCGTTTCCTTTTTGCTAACTAATCATTTGCAATCGTAATAATTAACTAATTTTATCACAACTTGATTGAACAGAAAAATTAATCATGATCAAGAGTACGATTAGTTAATTGCAAACAACAACAATAACAACTACAACAAAGATATCGATTAACTTAATCATCGAGTATTAAAATCCTAAATTGTTTGTTGATTAAAAATGATTGACAATTGTGATCATATGATTTGAACCACAAAAAAAACATAAAACTATAATTAACTTACAATTAGCTAATTGTATGTAATCAAATTGTATCTTCATCTACTTGACAATCCAAGGATTCTGTATATAAGTAAAATCTAATGAGGATGATAAAGTATCAACGTGTAAATGATGATAAAGATGATGAGAGAGCGAGGAAGATAAAAAAAAAGTCATCATAATATTAAATCAATCCCCCATTTTCAAAGTGATTCAATTGCAATAAAACTTCAACAATTAAGTCAACAATTAACGGATAACAGTTAACTAACCTTTTCCTATTTATTTCCTTGTTTATTTTCAGGTTATTCTCAAATACAAGTGAAAGTGATGTTTTTAATTACCACCAAAGTGGATTAGTTAATTGTTACAATTGATTTTCTCTTCTCTCCCAACAACGAAAAGTAAACAAAATTGTAAATTGTCACCAGTGAAAAAGAAAAGATATTCCCTTTGTTTTGGAGATTAGGTTCAAACCTATTCGATTTTTCTGTTGACCTTTAACTGGACATTTTACCGTTATTTGGATCATCAGCTGATCGATATTAGAACTCTGGACAAAGTGTTTACCACCGGTGGGAGATGGTTTTTGTTCCCCGGAGGCGAAGCCTTTACTTTAAAGTGCTTCTCCTCATTCCAGCCTCATGGTTTCTATTAACACTTTTAATTAACCTTAATGATAAAGCCAAACAACATACAAACAATTTACCCGATGTTGATTTAATTGTATTACAACAACAGCAACAATCACAATCATCAATTTCATCCTCATCATTATCACAACAACAACAACAACAACAATTGAACAATCATTATGATAATAATAATAATGTTATTATACAGAATCGTGTCAATAGGTTAACTAATATAATTAGTGAAGTTAATTCAAAATTAAATAACAATCATGTTGATGATTTAGATGATAATAGTTTAATTCCTGGGGAAAATGTTGGTTCCGATAAAGTCAAATTGCCTCCAGGAGTAAATCATAAGAATCATAAATTGTTTCCAAATAATGTTAACAGTAAAAAAGTAAGTTTACTTTAATTAGTTAATCACTTGCAACAATTAATACACAATAAACAACAAATTTCAATCCAATCAACTTAAGTAATAATAATAATAGGATATGATAATATATTCACTTAGCATTTGGTGTTGTTTCAAATGTTTGTTTCATTTCCGTTTCCCTTGACGTTGATGATGTTGATGATGATGATGATGCTTCATTAGCATGAGAACTAGAAAAATTTATCAATTAGCAATCAATTGTGAATTTATTTATAACAATTAGTATCTGTAGTTATGTAATATACTGGATAATTTAACTAATCGCTGTTAACATGAAGTTTAACAAGAAAAAGTTCATTTCTGGTTCCGGTTTCTTGAGGAGGATCAACATCTCATATTCAATCACATCATTTAAACTCATTTTTTACCTCTTGCATTTTCAAACATCATTATCATCACCATGAGTATCATCATCATCATCATCAACAGGAACAATAATCATCATGAACATTACTGATGCATAAAAGGTGTAAATGATTTGAACAACTTAACGTGCATCATATTGATTATCATTATTAGTTAGATTAAATTGTAATCAATGAACCAACGGCAATTTACAAGATACTGAGAGAGAGCAAAAAATAGTAAACCAAATCAAAGTAAAAAGATAATCACTTGATGATGATAATGATTATCAACAAATTGCAATTTACAAATTATCATCATGATAATGATTAGTTTTCAAATGTAATTGAAAATCATCTCGATATGAAATTTGCAAGTAGGAAAAGTTTTTTGTTCAATGTTAATGTTGCAAGAGAAAAAGTTTTTCAAGTTTCGTTTTGTTATTCACTGAACAGGTAAACAAAATATTGAAAGAAAACCTAAAATTAATTTCAATTTCCGGATCCTGTTTTTTTTTGTTTCTTTATTTTATTGATTTTTAGGTTGATATTAAACGTTTAAATGAAAATGCTGTGATACCAATGCCAATTGATAACATTAGTAACAAGGGTCCTGGTGAATTGGGTAAACCCGTTGTCCTACCGACTAATGTGACCTCCGAAGTGCAAAGTTTAATTAGCAAAGGCTGGCAAGACAATGCTTTCAATCAATATATTAGTGATATGATTTCATTAAGACGATCTCTTCCTGATGTTCGGGATCCTCAGTAAGTTGTTTTCAAATTTTACTCAAAAAATTGCCATGAAATTCTGGATTCTGTATATGTAATTCCTGGTGCAAAGTTCACATTTCCAAAGTTGATATTGTCTTGGAACAAAAAATCCAATTCCTTTTGTATTATTATCATGAAACTTTTCCCCCTGTCAACATGAGGTGTAAACAGTATATAATATGAAAGCTGAGACAACAGAACTTCACACCATGAAGATTTCCAGCTTTTCCAATGCTGAATTTGCTGAATTTTCCATGAGATAGATTTTTTTATTTTTCTTATGAAACTCATGTTGATTATCATTTAATTTCAACACGAATAACGTTCAACTTAACCTCTTCCTTTGACTCTACTCTCTCTCTCTCTCTCTCTCTCTCTCTCTCTCTCACCTCTCTGATAATGATATGATTGCAGGATAATGATTCAAATGAAATTGAATTTCATAGTTTGTTGTTACAGAAATGAAAAGTTTTCCATTTTGGTTGAAAAAATGAAGAGTTTCCTTTTCCTCCTCTCATCAAAATTGCATTTTCAATGATATTAAATGTTCATATATGAAAATGGGTTAGAATAAAAAAATAGTTCAATATTTTTCCATCAACACTTAAGCAATTGAATTAGATTCTGGAAATGGCCAACACCCATTAACTTGCAATTTACTTCATCTTTTTCATTCTATTCTTGTTCTTATCATCATCATTATCATCATCATCATCATCATCATTATATTATATATTTCAACGTCTCTTCATCACCATAATCTAATATTTTATTGTAAAAATTTTTTCCTTCATCTTAACTGAAATGCTTTTTTTTTGTAAAATCTACAAAATTTATTGACCATCAAGACGAGTGAGTTGATTATCGTTGACAAGTACAATTAATCAACTAAATAATCAACATGATTGAGTTGATGATAATGATGATGATGACAAAAAATGAGCTGTTGCTTCAATGAAAGTTTCAACAAGAAAAGGGAAAAAAATTTCAAGATAATCAAGTTAAATCAACACAAGATTAAGGTTGAAATGAAAAAAATTGTAAAAGTTTGTGATGGTGGAGGAGGAAGATGCTGTTGATGACAAAGATGAAGAGCAAAAAAGGATGATGATGATGATAATTATGATGATAAGATGATGGTAGTTACCTGAATAGCATGAAAAAAATGAGATCTTTTCGTTTACTCTCTCATGTTGAGAGATGACATTTATTGTTGTTACAATTTCTTACCTTGATTAGTTTTTGTCTCTTTTTTCATGTTCACTTGATTAGTTTGCTGTTTGTTATCATTTTGCTGCTTTCACTCATTTTTTTTTCATCTTAAATATCAACATCTCGTGATGAAGATGAAGATGATGAATGAAGATGCAATTGATGAAGATGAACCAGTTTTGTTGATTGTAATAGTCTAAGTGTTTGCAACACCAGCAGCAATTGAGCAACAGTGAGAACAGGTAACAAGAGACAAAGGTAATCAACCCTGATTTAAGTTGAATTTAATTCAATCAGTAATCAAGTCAATTAAACGCGAAGAAAAAAAAAAGTTTACAAAATAAAATTATTATTATCAAGAAACGAATTGCAATTGAAAGATAATTTCAATGAGATGATTATGATTACCGGAAGACTTTAAATGTTAATGTCCTTTGAGTTTCTATCGGTCATCTTGTTGTGATTCTGATTCTGAGATTGTGATTCATTTCTCTTTGATTTCTTACTTTCTGTGGGTGGTAATTAAAGGTTGACCTTTAAGCACTTGAAGATTTTGAGATGAACATGAAGATGAAGATAAAAATGAGTTAAGGTGATGATGATGATGATATTTAGCTCACGCACTTTGGACTTGCGTGAGTTGAAATTGTTAAGCTTAAACGTTTACTCAGCACGTGGTAATTGAAATAGACTCGTGATTAGGTGAGTTGATTGTTTTTCCTGGTGATGATTAAAGATGAACTTGATATTCATTATCATTGTTATCTTCATCTTCCTGATCCTCTTCATAGCCTTTACTTTTTGATTGATTCATGATTATCAAGAGCCTGAGTTTTTCATTCATAAATTATCAAGATGATGATGATCACCTTACTTTTTGTTTAAAGGTAAAAAGTTAATTGATAAAGATGAAGATGAAGATGATGAAGTAAAAAGGAAAAAGGTGAAAACTTATCATCATTTATCATCATCTTGAGAAAAACTGTAAACAATTGGCACACAAATTTAACAGGTCAAAAGTGATCATCATCTGTAATCAACCAACAACAACAATTAAGAGTTAAATCATTATCCAAATGATTACAATTGAACAACAATTAACAAACATTTTAACCTTGATTTTTCATTTGTTAAACTAATAGACTTACAAAAACTAGAGATCAAAATTTCAAGATGAAAAAAATGATTGAGTACAAATGATGAAAGAGAAAATGAAAGATGATAAATGAAGATGAGGATGCAAGGTAAAAGACCTTCATCTTCATCTTCATCTTGATCATCTTCTCATCTTCATCTTGGTGTAAAAATGAAAATGAAAAATGTTCATAAAACGAGTTGAATGTTAACCATTCGTTGACCTTAGAACTGGTTTCAAGTTGAATATTATTTTCATCTTCATTTTAATCTCTTTCTTTCCCCCTGATCATCCTGATCATCCTCATCATCATCATGATATAAGAAAACTGTATTCATATAAACTGAACTTTTTGTGTGTATTTTCACATGAATTTTTCAGGTAATTCCCATGGAACCAGTAATTTGGTCTAAGTTTCAGTTCTGTTTTTTTCTAAATTCTGGTTTTCTCTCTCTCATCTTCTTAAATCGTCACTTTTTTCATCTTCATCTTCATCATCACTTTCTTCATCTATTAATACTAATGGAAGATGATGATGATGCTACAATAATAATAACATTTAGATGATAATCTTGATCATTTTCATCTTCCTTGTATCATCTTAATGGATAGATTGAGTTCATCTCTTTATCTTCATCCTGTGAATTTTGCAACTCAATTTTTCAATCCATAGACAACAATAGTTACTTTATCAATTGTATTTCTATCACTTATTAAGATGATAAGGATGATAAACTCTTTCCTATCATCCTTATCATCTTCTTCAAACCTTTAGTTTACTTTCACCTTTTTTTCCTCTCTTGCATATTTACTATTTTTTCACCTTTTTCGTTGACAATGTTTGTCTATCGTTAGTAAAGGATCAAGTTATCATCATGATCGTTATCGTTATCACAACCTAACGATGATGATGATGATGAAATCAACAAAAATGTCATCATCAGTGATAATAGCATCAACTTTGTATATCCAGAACCATTATTATTATTGTTAACTATCATGAAAGATTATAAATACAATGAGGAAACAAAAAGTTCTGAGTTCCAATCCATGTTAATCCCTCTTTGAATATCACTTCATATGTTTTGCTGAGTTTGTATAAATAGACAGAATCTTCATCACCCTGTAGAAAACTTTTCTCATGTTGATATTATTCAGTTGATCATCATCATCATCATCATCCATCGTCTCCATTGAGATGAAGCAAATTATATGAATATTTTCATCTCATCACAAGAAAATCATGATGATAATAAGCAAAGATTTCAGAACTTCAGAATCCTCATGTTCACTTTTTTCCCTCCTTCAAGAGATGTTGATGTTTACATTGTTAAAAAAACAGATTCAAGGATGAAGATGAAGATGGAAAGATGAGATGTGATGATGATGATGATGAATAGGATGATAAATAAACATTCTTAAAAAGTCAAGGAAAAAAAATCAAAGATCTTTGGATATGATCAACACATGTAATCGTCTCCAGTTCAGAATTGAGATTCAGTTCTCATGGAAATACATGCAACACACATGGTGTATATTCATACAGCTCAATAATAAATCAAGGTTATCATCCTGATCATCATAATCTTGATGATTCAGATTCATTGTGAGATAGATTATTCAACCAATACACAACAATTATAATACCATCAACTTTTATTCTGAAACTCTCAGTTCGAGGATATATAAATTTCCTAGTAAAAAGTTAATTTGAAATGAGATTTTTATCTCTCTTTCTATCTCATTCTGTTTACCCTGAAAAACTTGAAACTTTTTTCTCTTCATCCTGAACTCACATGAAATCTATTTACATATATGTACATACAGGGAGTTTTAAACTCCAATCTTATTATTTTTTTTTCTTCCTCTTCTTGGTGTTGTTATTTTTATCCAATAATCAAGTGAATTTGTGAAAAGTCAAGTTCAAGAAATTCTGATGATTATCATGATCACAATAATCTTACCCAATGATTAACAAATTATCCTAAATGTTACTTCAATTCCAATGTTCCAATCGATTTGATTTCTTATTCTTATTACTATAAATTCATTGATGCATCATGATTCCTTCCAATTGCTATTTCATCCATTCTTCCACCTCCACCCTAGTGTGAGTTTCCTTTTCTCCGCCTCAGATAATTCATTCATATTTACTCATTACCATGAATTCTCACTGTGAACGATTGATGAAACTTTTTTTTCTTGTTTCTCTTTTTCCTCCTTCTTTACTTAACCCACCCCACTGCCTCCACTTTATATTAATTTATCGTCTCTCATACTATTTATAATGAATTTAGTTTCAATTCAGTTGATATAATCTCAACACCGGTAATATGAATGAAAAGTTTACTCGGCGAGCAGAAAATTCAATTTACCTGGTGATAACTGTCCAGGTAAACTATTAGCTTGATGAATAATCATTCAGTCCATTCATATATCATTTTGTTGGTGAAATTTGATGAAATATAAAAGTTACAATTTATTATCATGAATTTTCATGAAAATCTCTTTTCTTTTTTGTCTATCCTTGCATGAGAATCTCTTTTGATAATTCAGTACTTTAGGAATCATGTTGATTATCTTATCATGAATACCACCGATTCATGATGATGAATCTGATTAAATCTGACTCTTAATTCAGGATTAA